CCTACTTTCGTGCATACTCCCAATACTAAACCTGAGCGCTATGCATCTGGGACTGATTTTGAAGAGAGTGGATTAACAATGCCATATCATAATCCAACTTAACACCAATCGATACTATAGCAATTTTAAGGCCCTTCAATGTTCGATCATTTATAGGCGGGAGTTGTGCGGTAGCCATGGAAAGAGAAGGTTCCTCACGAGCTTTATTAGGGTCTAGCCCTTCCTTTAACAATGTTTGCCTTAAAGTAGTCGGGGTGATTGGGCTTCAATTCTCTATAAGATTATCAGAAGATAAAACAACTACTTGTGCTTGAAAGCACAGTGTTGTAATTAGCGATGAAAAATACAAATACCTAGAAGTCTTTTGACCACAAGCAAATATTTCAGCAGAAACTATTTTACCAACATCAATGTTTCTTCCAAATAAAATTGAATGAAGTAACATAATTCAATCCTTAGTGATAGTGGAAGAATGCATAGTTTGCATTAACCGAGTTCTAAAGAAAATAAACCATATACGAGTATCGTGATAGAGATCTAAACGTCTCATTGTTCGAACGCCAGTAGTTGATCTCTTTCAAGACCGACTGGGTAAGCAAACATCTCATCCTACTTGCTCTAACTCCTCTTTGGTGAAATTTTCCAGAAAGGTTGTATGCTCGCAAGACTCTTCGATGATACCCAAAAAATTGTTTATCGATTTGGTCCACCAATGAACCATCTTCTGTCAAACAAAGACTAGACGCTTAGTCTGGCCGATGAGATTGCTTTAAAATTCCCAAACAATGTGATGGTTTAAGTCGCTGAGGTGGTCAAAGAATTTTCCCTAACCTCGCTGAGTGATCAACTAAGAGATATAATCGAAGATTTGAGTCTCCTCGTCTGTAAATAAATCAAAGCCCTGCTTATTAAAAAAATTTCGACCCTCAAATTCCTCCTCATAACTCGTATGTGCTCGTCATCATTAAATCATGCGACTTCCTCCACCAGGGAAATTTCCAGTGGCGTAATTGTAGCATAAGGCAGAGTCGGTGTTCGGCCAAGGGTTTTAGGCGTATGAAGAAGATGAAGTGGAATAAATGAGGGTAATTAGGTTGCGTGAAAGAATGGATAAAAGATTATTTTGAAATTTGAAAGGGACTAATGATGAAAGGATAATGAAAAATTAAATGGGTCATTATGATAGGGTAAAATAAATGATGAAAATTGAAAGAGGGTTAAATGGGTAACATCCCATACTGAGTTTTACCGTCATAACTTAGCTGGTTGTCCTTGTAGTTCTATAGCATCAGTACATCGAAGATATAAAACAAAATCTTAAGAGCTGTGTAGAATGAGAGAGACAACTAATAACGATAAAATGAAAACACATGTACAAAAAGAAATAAAGAAAATAAGTACCTATAAATATTTTTCAAAAGAATCGACTTCTTTAAAAGAGCAAAATATTAAAAAGAATGAGGATCGCTAGTGTGATCGAAGCGATGCTAGGGATTTGTTGCTAACAATAATGGTTTATGCCCATTGACTTTAAATGTTCTTCCATCCACCAAATTTTTTAATAATACTGTACAATGAGGGAAAATTTCAAGAACTTCGAAAGAATCTGAGCAAAGAGAACGTAACTTCCCAAGAAATAATTTTAGTCTCAATTTAAATAACATCACTTGTTGTCTTGAAATGAATTCCTTTGGAAATATATTCTAATCATGTCATTTCTTACTCTCGTCTTTATAAATGTGAGAACTCTCATAGGAATTATTTCAGACTTCCTCAACTCATTAAGCTTCAACATCTGTTTTTCACACTTAGCATCTAGATCAAAATTCAACCTCTTTAACACCCACATAGCTTTATGCTCCAACTCCACCGGTAAGTGACAAGCTTTACCATAAACAAGATAATAAGGGAACATTCCCAAATGAGCCTTATAAGAAGTTCTATAAGCCCACAGTGCTTCTTCATGGCGTTGGGACCAATCCTTTCGAGAAGGGTTTACAACTTTCTCAAGGATTTGGTTGATTTAACGGTTAGACAGCTCGACTTGACCATTAGAATGTGGATGATATGTTGTAGAAATCTTATGCTTCACTCCAAAACTATTCAATGCTCTAGCAACCTGATGATTAATAAACTGAGATCCTTCATCACTGATAAATGCACAAGGTGTTCCAAAGCGAGTGAAAATGTTTTTATGCAAGAATTGCAACATTGTTTTACCATTGATGTTTGGAATGGCTACAACTTCCACCCATTTGGATACATAATCTACAGCAGCTAAAATGAAGAGGTTACCACATGAAGAAGGATATGGACACATAAAGTCTAATCCCCATACATCAAATAACTCGATCTCCAAAATAGGTTGCATTGGCATTTCATTTCGCCATGAAATATTCCTATTCCACAGGCAGTGATCAAAATGCTTTACAAATTTATTACCATCTTTAAAAAGGGATGGCCAATAATAGCCACATCGATGCACTTTGGTTGTTGTGCGCATACCACCAAAATGTCCACTATATGGGGCACTATGACAATGCTGCAAAATGCTTTGTTACTTGCATTGAGGGATACATCGTCGCATAATTTGATCATTACATTGTTTAAATAGATACGACTCCTCCCAATGATATTGCTTTACATCGTGCATAAATTTCCTTCGGCCCTGGTAATTTAGGTATGGTGGCATCATACCACTAACTAGATAGTTGGTAAAATCAGCATACCATGGTAATGTTGTAGTGGCTAACAGACGCTCATTAGGGAATTCATATGGAATTATTACAATGCTGCCATCTTCGCTGCCTAATTCTAACCTAAACAAGTGATCAACCACCTGATTTTTAGATCTGTTCTTATCCTGAATTTCAATGTCAAATTCTTGGAGTAAAAGCAACCATCAAATCAAATGAGATTTTTTATCCTTCTTAGAAAATAAATGCTTCAGCACAGAGTAATTTGTATAAAAAATAAATTTTGTACCCAACAAGAAGGAACAAAATTTATCATAAGTGAACACCATAGCAAGCAACTCCTTTTCAGTTGTGGCATAATTAATCTCAACTTCATTCAATGTCCTACTCGCCAAATGTATTGCACAAAATATTTTATCCTTCCACATTGATCCTACGGCGAAATCACTAACATCACACGTTATTTCAAAGGTGAACTCCAATAGTGTTGTAATAATAGGGGCATTTACTAGCTTCAATTTGATTGTCTCAAAAGATTAAAGTACTTCATCAACAACAACCAACTTCGTGTTTTACTCCAGCAGTGAGCACAATGGCTTAGCAATTCGATAGAAATCTTTAATAAACCTTCTATAAAAACCAACACGCCCAAGAAAGCTTCAAACTGCCTTTACATTAGTAGGTAGTGGCAATTCCTTAATAACTTCTACTTTTGCTTTATCCATTTTAATGCCACGACTTGAAATTCAATGCCCTAACATTATGCCTCAGTGACCATAAAATGGCATTTCTCCCAATTCAAAACTAAATTGGCTCCTTGCATCTTCTTAAAACTGCAGCCAAACTGCTCAAACACTTGTCAAAGTCCTACCCCAAGACTGAAAAATCAACCATAAAAACTTTGAGATAATCCTCATTCATTTTGGAGAAAATGGCCATCACACAACGTTAGTATGCCATTAGAGAATTACACAACCCAAATGGCATTCTATGAAAAGAAAAGATGTTATACGAACAAGTAAAAGTTGTTTTCTCCTAATCTTCTATAGCTATAGCAATTTGGTTGTAACCACTATATCCATACAAAAAATAGTAGCATGTTCTCCACAATGCCACTAGGATGTACGGTGAAATGATCAGCAAGTTGCAAACTAACCATAGTGTGCCTTGCTTCGTCACTCCCAAATTTCCTAAAGTTTGACAATGGAGTTAGATTTATGCTAGCACCCAAATCACATAAAGCTTTACCTACAAATGTGTCACCAATTTTATAAGGAATATTGAAACTCCTTAGATCCTTAAGTTTTAATGGTAATTGACTTGTAGCCATAACGCTACAGGCTTCAGTAAGAGTGATTGTCTCAAACTCTCTAAGTCTTTATTTATTTGAAAGAAATTCCTTTATGAATTTGATATAATTCAGATTTTGCTTTAAAGCATCAATTAATGGAATGTTCACTGTAAGTTGGCAAAGTATATCAATGAAAACTTTGCATTGATAATCTTTCTTTGCCTTTTAAAGCATTGTGGAAAAGGCGGAGGTAGTTTTTTATGCTACTGATACAATCGAGCCGAATCTGCATTAGACGCATAAGGGGTTACAGTTAGCAATGAGTCTGTGTTACTTATTTCCCCCACATATGGTGCTATGAATTGAATCTCACACGGTTTCGGATAAATTTCTTTACTCTTTCCTTTACCAAGCATTCAGATAAGCTACTATAGTTATATCTTTGTTGTGGCCAAGCAACAGACTGTTGTGCCTATGGCTATGGCATTTGACTCTATTGATTATACTATTGCGACTGATATTGTTAATGCTATAGGTTGGCATTCAGACTTCTCCAATAGAGATTAGGATGATTTCTGAAATTTGGGTTGTACGTGTTCCCAAAAGCATTATCATTCATTTGATAATTTGACACATATTAGATTGATTCTGGATTTTGGGGGCATTCATCAAAATTATGATCATCGCCATAATATACAAAAGTAATAAGAGATGTGGCTTTGACTTCATACATTCCTCCTAGCTTATGGGATTTCTTCACCATTTCAGTCAATACTAAAATCTGAGAAGCTATAGAGTTGAAAGCTTCTGACTCTACTACTGCAGCACCACGTTGACCAAACGTATTGCGTGTATTAGGATATTAACAACCATTGGTGGAGATTCTCTCGAGGATATTATATGCTTCATTGTATGTCTTATCTAGAAAAGCTCCATTTTCTGAGGCATCTACCACCATCTGTGTGTGAATATTTAACCCATTATAAAATATCTCCATTTGAGTCCAGTGTAGGAATCCATGCATAGGGCGCTTCTGCAACAAATCTTTAAATCTTTCACATGCTTCATACAAGCTTTCATCATCCATATTCTTGAATGAAGTTAAATCTTTTTAAAGCTTAGATTTCATACTTGGTGGGTTAAATTGCAACAAAAACGTTTGCGCTAATTCATTCCAGGATGCTACAGTACCCAGTGGCAGTGAACTCAACCAAACCCGTGCTTTATCATTCAATGAGTAAGGAAATAGCTTCAGATTCAGGGCCTCCTCTTGAACACCTAGCTGAATAAAATAATCAAAAAACTCTATAAAAGCTCTCAAATGTGCTCTAGGATCTTCAGCAGTAGAACCTCCATATTGTCCCTTAGATTTTAACATTTGGAACATAGTTGGTTTTAGTTCAAAGTTTACAACACTAATAACTGACCTTACAATGCTCGGATGCAAATCGTTCAATGTTTGTACCACATGCTCACGAATAGGGTGATTATGATCATCTACATTCTGAAGTGGTTGCTCATCTTCAAGGTCAGATGGCAACTCATCATTCTCTTCATTCTGAAACAAAGGTAAAATACCATTCCCTCATCCAAGCATAGCATACCATTCTCTTTCATCTAAGTCATCGTCACTTTGGGACATACAATAATAAAAACAAAGACTAAGAAATCTATATAACAAAACAAATACGTAAGAAATATTAAAAGAAATCTAAATTAAATCGATGCTCCCCAGTAACGGTGCCAAAAAGTTGATGCTACTAAAATGTTATAGCATACAACGTAAGGGCACGTATCACAAATCAAGTAATAAAGTGGAAACTACAATAGTTTCGGATATCTAACCTACAGGGAGAAACTTGTTTTCATTAGAGTGGTAATAATAGAAAACATCAAAGAAATGAAAGGATAGAGAAAAAGTAATGAAATCAATAACAAAGAGCACCAGTTCATGCTATAGCATTACAGAAGCAATTGGTCAACTATTGAATCAAAGGATATGATATTAAGGCTCAAACCATTAACAATACTAATCTATGGTTGTACACTTTTCAGGGCACTTATGCTACTCAACAACACCACAACTCACAGATGTATATAACAATTCAAATAAAGGTATTTCTAGATTTAAATAAAAATACTATATATTTAATTGAAAATATTTCTAATCACAATCATGAAGTTAAAAGCTCAGAAACTAAATACCCAAATAAACATAAAATACGAAGTTCATAATAAACATCCAACAAAAGTTAATTGTTCAAGTCACTCCCTCTCTCAATAGAAGGTATTAAACGTGATTTGCTTACTGCTGAAACTCCTCGACAAGCTTCTTTCATGCTGTAGCAATCCTTGGCAAAGGATTTAGGTGTCTATGGCTTAGAAAGGTATAAGGTGGAATTGGTACTTTGGATCTCTCTCAATCATCACACTTTTTGCACCCCAAGTACTCCCCTTTTATAGCTTGAATGAAAATATCATCGCCCAATAAGATAAATCCATGTTTCAAGTGTTATCCAGCCACATGATAACTACCAGCGCCAGCTTTCCCAATCCAGAAGGTTCTTCTAACCGTCTGGAGTTTAGACGACTGCTACAGCATCCAATCAGCATTTCCTGTATCGCTACAGCATCAGTGCAACAGTTTACAATAGTAAAAATCAATTTTAACCCTCAATAACCCATAATGCTCCTATCATGAAAAATATGCAAAATTAAGTAAATTTAATCCTGAAATGCTCCTAAATGTGTTTAATTTCAAACTAAACCTAGGTAATTAAGGCTACCAAAGATAACTCTTTTAGAGAGTTATCAAAAACCAGAGGGCTTGACTTCATCTTCAGACAACCATAAACCTCATCTATTATGATTTTCCCATATCAGTGGCTCGAACCTTTCTAATGGAGTGTAGAAGCATCATCCTTTTCAGTGAGATCATGGTATGATGGGAAATAGACATCAGTTGAGTCTTCAAAAAGTGGTTCCACAGTTTGGCTTCAGGCTTGAGGTTGGCTTTTTCACCGTCATTTTGGTAGTGGCATGTGAGATAGTCCACTTAGTTCCTGTAAAAAAAAGTCCTCTAAAAGTTCTTGTTGAGTTTGGGGTATAACATTATCAGGAAAAGTAGTGTGAAGGTCAACAACATCCTTCAAAACATAAAATTTGTTGATTACTGCAATGGTGAACTTGATGTTAACACCCTTTAGCACCACACTGGACTGTGTGAGACTCGTTAGATGGGCGTAGAACTCTCTTACCAGTGTAACAGAGATCAAATCATGATGAAAAGAAAAAGTTTCCTAGTTTTGACTGTAGATAACCTCCATCACTCCGCATCACCCGAGGGAAATATATGCCCTTTTTCAGGATATACCTTCTTAACCTTGAAGTTCTTAAACCTTAACCTTGCTCCCTCATCGAGGAATCATTCGATTCTTAAGGTTTGAGGAGTATGAGATGTACCGATCACATTCTTGCACTGAGGCATTGTGGAATGTAGAAATAAAAAGAAAGTTGAGACCTTTATGAGTTAAGGTTTTGCTATGGTGAAGAGAAAGAAAAATAAGAAAGAAGAAAGAAAAGTAATTGTGAAAGGGAAAATTGGAGAGAAGTTGAAGATAATAAGTTATGAAAAGAAAATGGAAAAAGGTAGTGGGGCAATTATGGGGTGACGAGAATATATTTTTAGGGAAGAGTTGAGATGTGATGGGGTTATAGTGCAAGGTATAAAGGGGAGAGAGAAAATAATAAAGAAAGGGGTTTTAAAGATTTGGTGGGTTTAGGAAAAATGAAAAGACAAAAGTTTCCCCTATTTTTTCTAATATTCAGACCGCCCTAAAGTCAATGAAAAAGTGTTTTTCCTTTTGGTTGGTTCCATTAGAGTAAAGACAAAACCATAAACTAAAATTAAAAAGTTCCTCTATCCAAAAGCCAAGTCTCCACCTTTCACTGAATCTAAAAGGGTTGACACGAAACACTAAAAATATATAAAAATAAATAAGAAAAAACAATAACAAATATTTATTTATGTATTGATCAATACTAAAAATATAAATATGTTATAGAAAAACTAAAAAGGTAAAATAAATCAAACACTCATGCTTTTCATAGAAGAAATGATGATTTATCATGCAGAATAAGGGCACCATTGTAGGTCTTCAGTCTATGGTCATTGACCTTGAAGGTCATACCATCCTCAAGATTCTTTATGTCAACTGCTCCGTGTGGGTAAACCTTGTGAATTTAGAATGGGCTTGACCACCTTGACTTGAGTTTCCCAGGGAATAGCTTCAGCCTAGAATTGTAAAGTAACACCTGTTTTCATTCGTTAAAATGTCGTGGAAAAAGATTTGTCGTGCCACTTCTTTGTTTTCTCCTTATACAACCTGGCATTCTCATAAGCTTGAGCCTTAAACTATTATATTTCATTCAACTCTAATAACCTCTTTTCTCCGTGCAACTGAGCATTCATGTTCAACTTTTTAATGGCCCAATATGCTTTATGCTTGAGCTCCACTGGGTGGTGACATGTTTTCCCATAAACTAACTTAAATGGGGACATTCCAAGAGGTATCTTGAAGGTTGTTCGGTAAGCCGATAATGCTTCATCGAGCTTTGGGCAATCATTCCTCTTTGGATTTACAACCTTATCCAATATTTATTTTATCTCACGATTGGAGATCTCATCTTGCCCATTCGTCTGATGATGATATGTTGAAGCAATCTTGTGCCTCACCCCATACCTCTATAATGCCTTCGCAATCAACTTGCTATCAAAGTGGGATCCTTCATCACTTATGATGGCTCTCGGAGCTCCAAACCTTTTAAAACATGCCTACAAAGGAACTTCAGGACTATCTTGGCATTATTCATAGGACTAGCTATTGCCTCAATCCACTTGGACACGTAATCGACGGCAAGCAAAATGTACAAATCTACAAAGGAAGAAGGAAATGGCCCCGTGAATTTTATACCCCAAACATAAAAAAACTCAACTTCTAGGATATTTTGTAATTGTATTTCATGTTGCCTAGAGATATTCCCCAAGCGTTGACACTTTTCATAAGCTTTGTAAAATTCATGTGCATCTTTGAACAAAAAGGGTTAATAAAATCCCGATTGAAAGACTTTTGTTGTAGTCCTCTACCTCTAAAATGCCCTCCATAGGGTGTTGAGTGGCAATAAAAAAGGATCTCTTGTTGCTCTTCCTCGGGGAAACACCTTCGAATCATTTGGTCAGTACATTTCTTAAACAAATGCGATTCATCCCAATAATAGAAGTGCACATCATGCATGAACTTCTTCTTACCCTGGTTGTTCAAATCAGGAGGCAAAATACCATATTTTATCATCAGTGAACTCCTCCTTATTTTCAAGGGTATCATTTCTATGTACCTCATTTTCTAACCTATAAAGGTGACCGACTACTTGATTTTTAGTACAACAACAATAGGGGTTGTAATGAGTCTCTCCTTGAGTTCCTTAAATGAGTTGTACCAATCATCATTAAAAACGAAGGCATAATTTTGTTGTGGCAATAAGCACAAAGGCTTAGAGATCTTAGAGAATTCCTTTATGAATAGTCTATAAAACCCTGCATGTCTTAAGAAACTTTGAATGCCTTTTACTGTGGTTGGAGGAAATTTTCTCTATCACTTCGATCTTTGCCTTGTCTACCTCTATCCCTTTCATGGAAATTTTGTGGCTTAAAATCATCCCTTCAGTCACCATGAAGTAACATTTCTCCTATTGAGAACCAAATCAGCCTCTTCGCATCTCTTTAATGCTTTTGCTAGGTTGCCCAAACACGAATCAAAATCATCTCCAGATACAGAAAAGTTATCCATGAAAAATCTCTGGAAAGTCCTCCACCATATCTGAAAATATTGCGAACATACATCTTTGAAAAGTTGCTAGAGCATGGCACAGACCAAAGGGCATTCTTTGAAATGCGTATGTTCCATAAGGGAAAGTAAATGCGGTCTTCTCTTGGTCCTATGATGTTATAGTAATATGGTAATATCCTGAGTACCCATAAAGGAAGCAATAAAAATATTTCCCCGCGAACCAATCCAGCATTTGATCGATGAATGGGAGAGGAAAATGATCCTTCTTTGTAGC